TTTTATTTTTCTAAGATGCTATCGTACTATTCAAAGAAAAGGTAAAAGATATTCTTTATTCTAAAAGGATCATCTTGACTAACCAATCTTTTTTTTATTAATTTATAGTGTAAAACACTTGCTGATGAATAATAGCTGCTACACGGTCTATAAAGAAAGATTATATCGTTTAGTAAGGCTGCTGTGGTAAGTACTATCATGTATATCCCTATCAAATGAGGTCTTTAAAGTCTCTCCTTTGCTGTTTACATTTGTTACCCTTATTTCTTACTGTAATATAATAAAAACCGTATTTTATAAAACAAATACCATTCTTTTTCTACCAATAATAACTGGTAAAGAAGTGTTCTAATAAGTCAGTTATAAAAGATCTAAAGAAGTATAGTGCCAATAATAAAGCTTCATCTAAAAAAAAGCGCCAATAGTAAGCTCATCATCTAAGGAAAGAGGCTAATAAGCAATGGTTAACAGAATGAATCACACGTTAAGGAGCCAGTAAGAACGCGTATAGGTCCGTGTTTTTGGTATACATTACTCCCAATTACATCCCAATTACAGTCCCAATTACAAATGTTTTTGGGATGTTTTCGAGTCCCAAAAAGAACTAAATAGGGTCCAATGTTTCACGTGATAATGGCTGTCTCTCTTCCCCTTTACTGTTATTTTGCCTTTCTTCTTCCTGAAAGCTTCTCTTGAGCAATAACTGTAATAATCCAATAGAGTCTTTGTAAGAGAAAGCCTCCCAAAAAAGTCGTTCAAGTCCTGTTGCCTTCAATTTTCGCAACCCACATTTGAAGATTTGTGATGACATGAGTTCTTAAAACAGCTCATGCTTTTTTGAATTGTCAAATTACAAAAGTTGAACTGAACAAACAAATCAAAAAATAATTAATCATACTGTCAATAGCATCGTTCAAGTTTTTTCCTTTCCTTTTTCTCTCAAAGAGAATGTAGGTTTTAAAGCTAAACAAGTTTTTAGAGTACCATTGAAAAGCAATTTACGTATGAGCTACTTTTGAAAGGAACCTATGCTTACTGTTAAAGAAATATAGATTTCATAGTAAAGCTCTTTAAGAATACTAAAAAAATAGATACAGCAAGAGCTAGTAACATAAGCGCCTTTTTCTTCAAAGGGGCTACTTTCTTTATTACTACTCTAAAAAGTTTATGCATGAGAAATACAGTTTTGTTTGATGTATAGACTGAATGATGAAAGGGGTGATAAAAGTGTACAATAAATAGTTTACTTGGCTAATCTTTCCTTATAACGAACCCAACTGTAATAACCAGATCCAAAGAGAGCTAAAATGATGCCCAAGCAGTTCTATCATAATAAAGTCAGCTTCAATAAAAAACGATCTACAACATCAAAAAATTAATTACCAGTCCAGAAATTTCGTTTTGGAAGATCATTGCAGCTAAAATGGTCTGGACACAAGACTAAATTGGAATATAAAAACGTTAATTGCGCTAGCGCTTATTAGAATGATGATTAGTTTACCTTGGCTGTACCACTAATTGTATTAGTTAGAGCAGACGTGTACTTGACCTGCAAGAACATGGCAATATTGATGGCAAATCCTGTGATACCAGTAACGGTCTAGATTGTGTTGATCGTTAGACTCTTATCTCTTTTATATGTATGTTCCTTCTTTACCATCAGTATCCAAAAACCAACATCATAAATAACTTCGGATGTTTCAATAATTTCCGTAATCTCCCCAGAGATGAGTACAAAGATGCCGAGAAGGATGACAGCTGTCGTGGTATTATAATGAAGTAACTTCCTACAAAGACAGCTATATGAGTTGTGGTCCACATAAAAGCCACAATATAAACATACCAAGGGTTATTGTCGACAATTCCCAAAGTCTTTTGAACATAGATACCATAAAGAGCTACAAAAGCAGAGGAACCTACACCATAGATCACACCAGCCCAAGAGAAATTGATTTCACCATATGAACCAATGGCAAAGCCGAGGAAAACGATAGCACAAGCGAGTAAAGCAGGTGCAGAGGTCTTTTTACCAAGGATGAGGTAAGTGAAAAGAATAGTAAAGTTGATCGATAACGATCTGGCAACCTACGGAATTAATCGTAAATAAAACAACGCGACACTAACTTTTTTGACATACCTGATAAAACGTAACCTCAACGTACTTCAGGCATAAATTATTGAGTACCAACATTCCAACATAAACAACAGTTAGAGGTGCTACTCTCTTTGCAATTGTACCATCAAATTCATAAGGTGGAATAATACTAAACAGCTTATTGCTATTTTCCGATATAACCCAATCAGTATTGGTCCCCCTTTTTTTTTTCTGTATGAACCTCTCTTTCTTACCGTTTACCGATTTCAGCCCAAATAACCAAGATAATGAGCGCAACAACAAGTTGATACCAGGTTACAAAGAGAGCATAGGGAAATTTTGCTGAACCACTCATGATGATCTTGTTTAGGAACACCACTGATAGTGAAATGACAAAATAAAAGGCAACAACACTTGCAATGAGCGTAACTGGGTGATCTCTTTCCACTGGTTTACTCTGAACAGGTGGAGGCAAGAAAGGTTCTTCAGCTTCATTTCGATCTTTACCTCTTAGAGGAATGTCATTATTACTGTTCATCTTTTCGAAATATCAACCAGTTAAAAAAAGAAAAAAAAGGAAATAATCAAAGGGGAAAAAGGATATAAATAGCCACAGAGCGGAATTAAATAATTCAAGCCATGAATGAAATAAAAAAAAAAAAGCCTGTTTAATAAAATAATATAAGAAGTATATATACAATAAAGAGAAACAATGAGAGAGAAAGAGATTGAGGAGGTTATTTTACAGTTAGAGTTTACAAAGTTAATAAATGTTTGTGCCTTGAAAAAGTGCTTGAAATTGTTCTTCCATCATGTCAATAATGCTTTGGGCTGAGGTGTTTTGATTAAATTCAGTCAGTCCCTTTAAGTAGCCGATACACAAAAGCATGTTGGCTTTAATTCTATCTGGTGTAATCGTCTTATCCATGGACAGTTCACGATCGAATCTGGAAGAGCGCAGTAATATTTCCCATGCATTCATGACCCATCTTACATCCAAAAGACAAGAGTAATCACGGGTAGCAGCGAATTGAACTAAACGGACAAGATTGAGTGCAGAAATGATGGCAGCACGGATAGAGGGAGTATTGAATTGCATAGAGGAAGGATTTAGTGCGCTGATGAGTTCCCTAAAGTAATCTTGTTCGCTTCCTTCATAACCTTGCATATATTCGTTCAAATGGTATTCCTTGATGTGCTTTATTTTTAGCAACAGTTTCATCCAAAGCTCACTTTCCAGTCGATAGGTGGATAGATCACAGGGTAGGTCTTTCTCCATCATGTTGAAACGCAATAGTAACTCTTCTGTCTTTAAGTTAACAGTAGAACGTTCTTTGGGGAAAAAACTTTTAGCAGCGATAAGGTATTCGTAGTACACAGAACCAGTCGTCAATAGTGCATAAGGGGAGGGATCAGGGCACTCGAGTTCAAGTGCTGTGAAGAAATCAAGGTCATTAACATCTTCAAACAAGGGCAAAGATAATCTATATTCTTTTGGTATTTCATGTTGGTACCAGTGGCGTGATGCCATTTCGACCTGATGTGTAAAATTTCCAACCAGGGAAGGAAGGTCATGACCAACTGAGCTTTTAGCCGCTTCTTGAACATTGTTATGGAGCTTTATGATTCTATTTTTCACGTCGATAAACCGTAATTCTCTTTCCGAGTCATTATTCGTAGGATAAATGTGTAAAAGATCATAACGATTGAGAGTTATAATGAGTTTCTGATGGTCTTTTCGATAGGCATTTGGTTTGGGCTCAAAATTCAGATCCAACATGTGTCGTGTATGTGTGATACTTCGATACAATCTGGCAAATAGCTTTGCTTCAGGTGGCGCGTCCCTTTTCTTCATCGTGCTTTCATATTGTGGTAGTAGCAGATGATACATTTGCTCTGCAAGAGAAAGGTATTTCGATGCATCTTCGTAGCTTTTTGCCTTTAGTTTGTACACAGCCATGAAGGTGTATGTTGTAAATATCTCTATGCTCGCTTCGTCAAATCGATCTGACAGCAATTCTCTAGCTTGTTCGAAAAAATACAACGCATAGTCAGCTGTTGCACTAACAGGAATATGTTGTGCAGTATGCTTGCATGGCTGTTGACAGATGAGGCAACAAATAGCCATGACTGCAGGTGATCTTAGAATGTGTTGTTGATCTGACATGAATAGTTGAACAAAGCTACGAACATGAATAGCAAAGTGTATGATGTGATTACAGTTGACATAAACGTGTATAAGCTGGAACACAAGCTTCACAAGCCCATCGATAGAAACAAACGGCACCATGTGTCTACCTTCATCATGTTGTATGAACATTGGTTTATATTTTGTAATAGATTTGAAGCGAGACTTTCCATATTTTCTCCACATAAATATCGAAAGAATAGTAGTTATAGTATTGCTTGTAGTTGGAGAAAAATAAGGATCAGGATTTGGGCAACCAGCATTCTTTTGTATCAAAAGCATATTGTTCAAACTGTGCATCAGATCAGAATATGAATTGACGAAGGTGTCGATAACCAAATGTCCGTTTTTTACTGTCAATTGCCATGGTTTAGTCTGATCTTCTCCTTTTGCAACGCTTGCTTCTAGTTGGTTGCATTTTGCTATTATAAAACTTTGTTTTCTATTTTTATGGTAGACTGTAGGTGAATTGTCATTATCAATATCAGACTTGGGCGAAGTGATCTGTCTTGTGTGTTCATGTTCCAATTGATCATGCCTGTCTGTATAATATTTGTATGTTTTAATAGAAAAATCATAGGTGTTGAGTGATATGGGTGAAGGATAATCCGTCTCTATTGCCGTTTCCTTGTTATATGGTGAAATAGAGCTATCCTGAGCCAATTTTAAGGTTGTCATTTCTTTCTCCATTATGCTGATTTGACTTTCAAGAAGTTCAATTTGCTTTATATATTCCAACTCTTGCATATATTCCAAGTCTTTTGGTGAAGGCATTATTGTATATACACATTCTACTCCAAGGTTTGAGCATCTATACATTATAAGCTACTTATATTCTAATGTTTCCCCTTTCTTTTACTATAAATACCTTTCACATGGATTTCCATAAGAGCATCTTCTTTTCCTTTGACGACAATTGTTACAGGGCGTTTTTTTCAAAGAAGGTCCATGGACTAAATTTGCCATGTTTTATCAAATCAAGTTGCGCAGCAAAAATCAGGTTGTTTCTTTTTTTATTTTCTTTTTTAAGTTACAAAGAAATTTAGCATCCGAAATCAAAGTGTATACTCAAAGTAAAGTTGCACCTGGTGCATATCAATACCACACCAGCCCAAGAGTGAATGTAATGTGCTCACTATCAGAAGTTACTTTTCTAGGATCTGCCATCGTATCAAGGATATTTTCTAAATAGAGTGCATCAATGTTAATCTCTTGTCATAGTTACACAAATACTTTTAACATATTGGTAAAACGTAACAAAGTGGCTTTATTAAGATCTATAAATAATCGCTGTAAGAACACAAGAAGGCAAATTATTCATCTGAATGCGCCTTGAGCGTCTGATATAGGCTTGAGGAAGTTTTGCTTTGGCGTTTAATTTGAAAAAGCTATGTAGATCAGTAATTTCACTATTTCCTTCCAAGTCTTGTTTTGATAATTTTCATATTTTCAGCATCAGAGGACCTCAAGTTATCGATGCTTTGATGTGTCTCAAGAACTAAGGTCTAATAGGAGACAAGTAAGTCAAACATGAGAGTATATTGAGATACAGTTCAATTGCAACTTATTCTGAACTGCCAGAAATGATTGACTAACCATCGAATGCTCTCTTCAAAACACTGGGCCTGCTTTGTCATGTTAACATGCTAAAATGTACATTTTCTTTGAAAATATATGCATATGTCAAATTACCAGCTTGATAGTTAAAGAGAAGATATTAGCAGCTTTATGTATTGTAATCTGTATGCTTTTAGGTTTAAGAGTATTTACTAGTAAAGATATAAAAGGAATTTCGTGAAAGGTAAGTCATAAAAGACTTGAAAGGAAGTTAAGATATAAAAAGATTTAAAGGTAAGCTAAAGCTTGGTTCGAGCTAGTGATCGCCGGATCTAAACGCTAGATCGCGAAAAGAAAGGTAAAGAAAACAAGGGAAGTTTTATAAAAAAAGGAAAAGTAAAAAGGGAGCTTTGATTTAAAGTAATGTGTACTTTGTTGAAAAAAGAAAAGAAAGCCAAAGGTATTTATACAAAAAAAAAAAATTCTATAATGAGACTACCAAGGTCGATGGCCCTGGCGTCGAAGAGGAAGCACTTGAACGCTTTAAAACCTCAAAAAAGGAAATCGCGCTTCAGTATAAAGGACCATGAGGATAGGCTAGTTTTGATATGTGAATCCTTGAACACTCAGAGGGACATTTAGTAACTGTACAGCACCTGGCTACGAGACCATAGCCGGATTTTATGTAGCCTTGCATTTCATTTGACGCGTTATGCTTCTGGAAAGGGCCTGTTGTTTCGAGAATTGCTATCTCCAAGTTGTGATTCTTGTTTATTAAAACGCTATCTGCGTTAAAGAAATGACTACTGTCGTTATTCATCAGTTTCAATTCTTGAGAAGCTGTGATATTATAGAAGAATAAGTAGTTTTAGCTCGGAAAATTAGAAAATACAAGTAGATGGCATGAGACTCTTTGTAATCCTTTTATTAACAGAGTAAGGAAGAAATTCATGGCAAAAAAGAAATTCGTCTTAAATAGAAGAATAAATGTTGTCATCATCCACTGATTATATTATATGACTTTTGTCAATTACTGTAGATTATAGATGCCATTAATCAGTGTTGTAGGCTTAACATGAGGTATATGTTAATATTGAATAGAAAAGATGACTTTGGATTATGTACGAAATGTATTGATTATATTACGCCAAAGAGTGTAATCTTCTTTTATATAAACGTGGAAATACGACAGAAATTGCCTCCAAGTGAGTGTTTCCAACTATCAACTTTGTGCTTTCAATTGATTTGGAAAGAGGTTCTAGAGCTGGCCATAGCACCGGATGGTTATAAAAAACCTCTGATTTACATTGCCGGCATCCTTGATTCTACAGAATTGAAAGAGTCAAATGACCCTCTGGATACTTGCTTGATAATTCGGCACTTACAAATCACGTATAATACTAATGAAAAACCTCTTGACGAGATACACTGAGTATAGATGTGATACAGTTCTTTCAAGATGAGAACAAGAAAAATTACAAGAAAGCATTTAATAGGTCTTTATATAATCTTTTTATGGAGACAAGAGAAAGAGGAAGAGAGTCCATTAGTGCAGACAGTGTACTTTTATATCAAGATAAGAATACAATCAATGAGAGTTGAGCATGACACGTTACATGTGAATAACATACTTTGTGGTTAGTTTTTTTAGCAATCTTATATTATAAAGTATCTTGCAGGGTTAATGCGACATTGATCTCTTTCTCTGTACATAGTCAGAAGCTAAAACAAGCAGAAAAAAGGCAGGTGTGTAAAAAAAA